AATGGCAGTTGGATGTAGCTCTTTAGAGGAGGGAATGAGACAGCCAGGTGGGAGGGGGGGTCCCTGAAGAAACCCCAACTAGCCTGCCCACTGAGGTGGAGCTCTGGGAAGTTCATGATGTTTGCAGTAGAGAGGAGCCTGAACCTGGCCCCTCCTCTTCCTGTATGGAACCTGGGATTCCAACTACCTGGCAGGAAGCGCCCTAGCAGAGGGACTCTGTCGTTGTGAGAGTCTCTGTTTCCGCCCCTACTCCCCGCACCCTGGTTCTTTTTTTCTTTTCACCCAATAAAACCCTGCTTTACTCACCCTTTAAACCATCTGCAAGCTTACATTTTCAGGGCCATGGGATGGACAAGAACTCTGCCTTTAGATGAATTACGGAAAAGTCCTGCAATACTTCCTTTCCCAATCTTCACCTGGAACAACTTTTTTTCAACTAACTATAAACATTATCTTCTAATCACCCCTTACCTGCTGATTTTCCATTATTTCCACTAGTCAACAAATGTAAGACACCTTGTTTCCTTCTCTTCATCTCATCATACAATAAGAAAGCAAGTGTAGCTAACTCAGTTTATTGTATTTTCATTGGACCTTAACTTCCACCAATTATCTCTCCGTTACGATAGTAAAACAATCTCCAATATGGATTTCTCTCTGACCTAGTCTTTTTAATCTTAAAGTTTTTTCTTCTGCCATGCTAGTAACCCATTCAAGGCTCAAATATATTATCAATGCCACACAACCATTTAGAAAATGTTAATATTTCATCGTTATCCATAAGTTACATTTAATAGGGTCAACATGCCATATACAGCGCCTTAAATCACTGTCTGTTTTGTCTTTAGCAATCTCCAAATTGAATGTTTAGTTCTATTAGAGAAACATGAAGCCACTTGCAGTCTTCTATCATCATGATGTTGCTTGTTCCTTGACTTTGCTGTATTTGTTCTGGGAAAACTGATATATCACCTTCTACCACCTGGCTAACTCCTATTCATCCAGTAGGGCACAATCTAGTTTGCTTTTATTCATATGAAAAGCAAATCTGATTCTCCATCTTCCAACTACACAGCCCAGGTCTGTTTCCCTTCTCTCTGCTTATATAATATGTGCTACTTCTTCCATTCAGTTCATCATATTGTATTTGCAATATTGTTAACTCCTTGCAGGCAAAAGCTGTGTCCCTTATTTTTGTATTAACAATAACTTTATTGTTGGCATAGCAAAAACACTCAATAAATGTTCCATGAATAAATGAATGAATGTACTTACAAATGAAGTGACACTGAATTGGGTCAAGGATTTAAAACTAATCTACTCATTTCATATGAAAAGTTCTACAACTAGTGTTCCATTCTCAAGTCTGTCATGTATTTCTTTATGTGGAAAGCTTTTCTACCTTATTGCAATGCTAATCCATATTAACCAGTTAATTCTCTCATGTCTCCATTTATTATTATGGCAATATTTTTACTTTGGTTGCATTTATTATTTACCAAAGGTAATGCTTTTACTAAACATAAAAAATAACTAACCAATACTGAAGGGACTTAAATTTGTCAGGAGCACTCAGTTGGGATAATTCAATTTTTAAAATTTAGTACTGTTTATTTGAGTTGAGTCTCCAACTTTCAGAAGTTAAATGTCTTGCTTTTAAGGGCATGTCTTATTTTTTTTTCTGTTTTTTTAGCTACTTGGCAAGTGAAAAATGGTTGCAGCCTAATGGTTACTGCTTAAGTTTAGACAACTTTAAATAGTGTGTTGTATTCTAAGAAGGATGAATTGGATGATTCTACTGACTTCATAAAAACAATGTACATAATGAGATGTTAAAGAACTATTGAAGTTAGGAAAGATAATTTTATTTTCTTATGGAAAAGGACTAGAATATGCTGGTTTAGCTACTGTGGTATTCAGGGATATCCATCAATGACATTTGATTAGAATATAAAAGTGAATCATAATGCAACCCTAAAATAAAATATCTAAAACTGTATAATTATGATAAAAAAGTGTTGATTGATTTATTTTCATCTTTGAATGCTGGCTGATCCATAACGTCTTCAATTTGAAGTTCCTCTATGAAATTCAATAATAGTCAATACAAAAATAGTTCAAACATTGCCACATTAACCAAGCCAGTGCTTCAAAGGTGCTGTCCTATCCATTTCATTAGTAAACTTGACTGAACAAGAATAAGACTAACATTGATTACCAAGATGTGTCCCCAAAGAGAAGCCAGTTTCCAGGAAAATATAATCCAATAGAACACAAGAAATAAAATATACTGAGAGCATTAATAGTTTTCTGTTCTGAAAAATAAATGCTATTGCTTAAATAAAACTTTCTATAGCCATCTGAAAGCTCCAATTCTCTTCTTTTATCTTAGGTTTTCTTTCTCATTATTAGCCAATAATGGGAGCGTTTACTCTCAAAGTCTTTATCCTTACAATGGAGATAATGATACCTACCTTAGAGGGCTTTGTAAGAACTAGAGACGATATATATACGTAGGAGTCCTGCAAATGGTAGTTATGATTGTTAACATTCCCAGACACTAACTTTTCCTTGAGGGCAAGCTGTGCTTTGATACTTCGGTTGCACTCCAAGGAGTGTTGTCTAGAAATAATTCTAGGAAATTTGACATTACTATAATTTGCTCTTGTCATCACTTTGGAAACATGTATACTAGCCATTGGCTACTTGTGGTCAGTGCTACCTTGCGTTGTTGTTAACAATGAGATAAACATATTAATATGAATTTGGAAATCAAGATGACAGTTACCAGAAAGTGAGGTCCTGATCATGGTGAGCAACCATCTTGATTTGCCCTAGACTACGGGGTTTCTGGAATGCAGGGCTTTCAGTACTAAAACCAGGAACATCTGTGCAAACTGAGATACGTTGGTTACCTTTTCTTGTGGGCGTGATTTAAAAGTTTTGTTCATTGCTGTATATCCAGAGCTGCAAATACTGCCTGGCATTAAGTAGGTTCCTCAATTCATATACACTAAATGGATCTATTCTAAAATAAACATAATCTAATCATTTTTTCCACTTTTACCATTTACTTCTTTTTCTTCTCCAGTGTTGTTTCCCCAGCATCTCTTCCTTTCTATCCTGTTTATAGGTTCAAAACATCAATAATTCCACACACAGGCATATGCACTATTTATGAAATATCTGATGGTTGAATTTGAAATACCTACTATTATTTCAAGGCTCCACAAATGAGAAAATAGGTGAAAGCACTTTCTGAGCTACAAAGCATATAATTTTTACTTTTGAATCATTATATCATTATATATGCCTAATGGTATCCCACTAATTTCTAAGAGCTCATGGTTTATTTCTGACATTTATCTAATTGTTGAATTTTACTGCTTAATATTGGTGCTTGCTATGATTACTAAAATGGCTTTCAAATAACAGTTACTAATCACTCTCAGGATTTATAATAAGTTGAGTTTTATGAAAGTTTAATGATAATATTAAAACTATGTTGGCTAATAGATGAGATTATTTTAGTAGCATATATTTTCTGATGAATATTCTATCTATCCATATATATTGGCACTTGTCTTTCATAAGAAATGGGATGATGTTTTTGTTATAAAATTATATATATAAAATCTGCAGTTTTAAAGCATTTTTCAATATTGTGAAAATTTCCATTCTTCTTAAAGTTTATATTAATAATAATAAAACTATCAGGTCTTATAAGTGGGATTTAAGAGTAGAATGAAAAAGAGGCACACTTCAATGCCTAGGCAATAATTCACTCGCTTATATTAGTTGCCTGATATTGTTTAGAGCTGAATTCCAGATTGCATAACTAAATGTTGAACAGTATTGACAGATTTTGATTTTATACTTCTCTTAGAAAACCTGAAAATGTGCTGAGAAATGAAAACCAGGGATACAATCTACTTTCACATAAGGTAAGGATATGTATTGAAAAACCAAAATGTAATTGAGCACATAAACATTGTCATTAATTATTTTAGAATGACTTGTTTGCAAGACTCTTGAAAATGTTTCAGATGAAAATACATAGCTACATGACATTTTTTTAAGGTCAGAATTAACTGAAGTTCATTCTCTAAGAATCCATTTATGCTGAGAAACATCTTTACAAGCATCCGTTAGTCTGCTTCAGGGCAACTGGAAAGAGAAACTGTATTACTTTTCTCATTTTGTAAAATATTATTATGATAATTTTAATAGAAGTAGCTACAGAAACTGGAAGTCCATTTCAACATCTAACTTTTAAGGCATTTTACAAATTTTATTAAGATTAATATTTTTTCATAATTCTATTAGTAAAACCTGAGATTTCCCTAGTATTACAAATTTTTTGATTAAAATTTGATAGTAACTACAATAAAAAGTACATATCATAAATATATTTATTTTGTGCATGTTTTAATATATTTACTTGAGGTTTCATATATTCCTCTTCGAAGTCTATAGACTTTACAAAACTAGCAAATGTGCTTAAATAGCAATTGGTGAGTTCCACTTTTTACTTCGTTCAATGTGGAAGGGCTGAGAAGTAAGGGGATGAACTAATTGTCATTCACTAGACTTATTAATATATAGGCACAATAGTTGCTAACGGTGCCCATAATGGGTTTCCACCATAACTGAACTAGGGTTGAACTTGGTGGATGCTCTGGCAAGTTTTCAAGTTTAGAGGACATCAATCAGAATATGTTCTACTGCCACCACACAGATCAGCCCCTCTTCTTCAAACAACATTGAATGTTCCCTTTCATCAGGATAAAAAGCAATATATTCACTACTTCTGGCAATGAGATAAAGGCAGGATTGATGCCATTTGGACAAGTCAAATTCAGCAATTCAGCATCAAATATATAATAAAGTACAGCATTAATAATCTGGAAAATGAAATTAAATTACTAGACCAAATAATGAAAAATAAGACTTCATGGTCTGATTTTCATAGGCCTTCCTTTCCATTTTTGGTGCAAGGGATAGATGGATGTGCTCATTTTCTGCATAGAACACAATTTACAAAACAAAGATTTTTCCAATATCATGTGCTTTCATTAAAATAGCTTCATTTATTGTCTGCCTTGCAGCAAGTTCCTCTCTATTTTCCTTTTTTCTTAATCCTGGGCAAAACAAAAAATGAACAGCAGTTTTACATTTTACTGCTAACCATATTATAAAATTTAATTATATAATTTTACATACAATTTATATAGTTTTCTCAAATAAGGTTGAAATTTCGGAAGTTCTGTTGGCAGCAGTTTAAGAAACAGAAGGATGTGAACTGGTATGTGTTTTGAGAAGGCTTCATTCAGTATCTAAATTTGGATCCTAATTGACAGTGTGCTACGTTAATTCTAGAAGATTTCTTTTTTCTCTCATACAGCCAGATGTATCTTGTTCTGTATCCCGATGGAGCATGAGAAGACAGTGGTGTCCCAGCTGCTTCCTATCTAATACGTACAGAGCTTTTAGGAATTCACATTTCTTCTTGCAAAAGAAGAGAAAGAATTGCAGGGACCTTGATTTTTGGAAGGTAACTTTTTACACTCATTTTTATCAGAAGTAGCTATTGTACAAAATCACATTCTAATCAGATATAATGGTGCATATGTAATTTCAGGATACGTTTTATAAGATATTTGATTCTGTGCTACTATATTTAAGAGAAAGACAGCTTTTGCAGAGTATGACTGCTTACCCAGCATTCACATGCTGTGTCTGGATAGTTAATGATATCATTATGTTCAAGATTCTTATTAAAACAAGCTGAAGCAACACATAAGTAGTTGAACACAATATTTTAAAATTATATTGCTTTAGAGTTCCACATTGTATTTGTAAGCACTCATCTAACTCTTCTACTTTATCTAAATATCTTGAAGATTATCCCAAAAAGATGAGACTGAAGTTTTTTGGTTTTTTTTTTTTCACCTTGATCAATCTTTACCTTAAAAATGTTGGATACTCTGGCGCCATCTACTTAATATGTTTTTATGTTTCAGTGAAGGCTATTCTTAATATGCCTTCTTCCTTTTCTTTCTGCCATGTAAATAGCCCTTACATTGTCAAGAATTTTTACCCCCAGCACATCTATATTTAGAATTTTATTTCATGGTAAACGGGTCTCAAACAATATCCTAATATTTAATTTTTTGATTATAAGGACTAAAAGCAGTTATGAACTAGCCACATTTTCTTTATCAAAAAAAAAATTTTATCACTCTTCCATATGCAAATAACCTATTTCAGTCTTTGAAAAAGATACACGATTTCAGAATATTTGAAATACGAGGGGAAATTATTAAAGCTTTATCAGAGCCTATATGTGTAAGCTACACCAAATCCTTCTATTATTTTGCTAATGCAAATACATCTGTACACTTTCAAAAGAGTGTTCAAGACTAAGGTCATGGCAGATGTGGAGGAGTAAAATTCCTGAATAGAAAAAGATGTTAGAGAATCTTCTTTCTGAAGCATCTTGGATGTTTAGGGAAGCAAAATGCATACTATTAGTAGGAAATACAAATACAAACACACACACACACACACACACACACACACAGATTATCACTGGGTTACTTTAACTTGATGAATTGTAAATGGTGTATTTTTGGTGTGCATATTTCAGGATACTGCCACCCAGTTGCCTTTGGATAGACTACAAGGAGCAGTAGACATAGAATTATATTTTGGTACAACAGTATAGCGAATATTTAAACAGTCATCTAGGCTTCCTGCTAAACTAAGTAAATTCACGTTTGTAATGGTCTCTAATACATCAGTGCAGCTACTGTTCTGATGGGCCAAGGGTCAAATATATTATGCAGGGAAAATAGAGGCTTACTGTTAATCAGAAACATCTAGAATTCATTTTAGTTTTCTTTAAATAATAGATTTATAGCACTCTACCCTTTATCCCCAAAACCTGCAATGAGGACCTTTGGTAAAAGAGTTTCTAAATTTATTGTAGAAGTCAAGTCTTGTTTATTTAAACCTTGCATCAATTTTTTTCACAAAAGATATTCATTAGTACTATACTATAATCTCCTAGAAGACTGAATTGTATGCTTTAGATTCCAACCTAACTTTTTAAGTACAAGTTCACCTTTCATCCTATTTGGTAGCATTTTTCTACCTGCTCAGCCACCTCTCACAGCCAAGGGTAATTGCATACTTGGACTAAACCTGCAAGAATTCTAAGCTTAAAATGAAAGAAGCTTCAGGGTCAGCGAAGACAGAGTTTGGTGAACACAGGCCAAGTAGAGAAAGCAGGATCATTTTCCCTCTCGATTTATATCACTTTTGTTTGTACTAGCGCTTGCTTGTTGTTACAGATATTTGTTGGTGTTTTTTGTTGTTGCTTGTTTGTGTTTTTGTGATCTGCAGGTTGGGAATATGTTAAGTATATTCAATACTGAATAACTTGACAAACAATAGTCAAAATATGTTTTCCCTTTTCTTGAGTCTTCACAGTGAAATCAAGTGTGGATTGTGTTCCTAACAAAGGGAGGTAAGATATAAGGAAGAAAAAAGTCAGAGAATTGGTGATCAAAAAAATAGAAGCAAGACTCTTGAATGCTCTCCTTCATTTCCCATCCTTTTCTCCCATTTCTCTGACCTACTTTGCTATTAATAATTGATTTTTCACACCTGGAAACCACAAAACCATGGAGTAAGGTTCAGCCTGCAGAATTAAGTGTCAGTATCCAAGCTTCTTAGCCATTAGGAGCTGAAGTTTTCTTCAGCTTGGTCAGTCCTTGTTTCATCACCAAGGTAGCAAGTTTCAAGGCCGATAATGAGATCTGTATGTATTCACTTGTTTCACATAACAATAGAAGTCATATACATAATATATGAAAATATCAGGAGAATGCCAAGGTGTAATAACCAGAAAGTTCCCTTTTTACTTGGAATCTAGTGTATGGTCTCTTAGCCAAAATTCCCCCAGCTCCTTAAAAAATACCATTAATTAATTACCACTGATTTAGCATTGCCCTCTCTGGTATGTATTCATCCTTCAGAGCAAATCTAAACCCACACTTCTTATAGATCTGCAGTTTGCATTTAGAAAAAGATAATCACCTCTTCCAGAAAGATGGAAGAAACCAGAAATCCAAGAGTTTTCTATAATAACAATAATCTAATAATCTAATATTTTGAAAGTTAAGGTTCTGATTCACAGCCTTTCACCTAACAGTAAAATTAGAGCTGGCAACCAGTAATGAACTGAGATGATTTCTTTAATCATTTTTATATAGATTGGGAGTAATGCAAGAGCAGGAACCAGATCTTGTCAACTGTGCACCCACGATACTAAAATCTGTATTTTGCACACAGTAGGTCTTTAATAATTATCATTGAATTGAACTGAATTTGCTAATACTCATCACCAAATATTCTTTTTCAGCTCTAGATGATTTAGAACACTTTCATGTTTTGCAGTTATAGTTCATCTGACCAATGAAATTACGTTTAGGAGACAGTAAATAAATTGTACTGAAACTTTCCTTCAAGTAGAATTAAATTTACTTCACAAAATCATTATTTTTGAACCTGAGCATTCTACAAAGTGTAAGCCTAATGAGAAGGAAAAAATACCACAGCATCCTTAAACACAGATCTAAAACTCAAGTCAACTAGTCAAACAGGACCCTGTAGAGATTGGTTTTGTGACTAAAGAATACTGTAGTATTTTCTTTCTTAGAAAGCAGAAAATCTAATTACCTTCAAGTTTCTCACATTTGAGCCATACTACAAATGAGTTGTGTCCAGGTACAGAAAAACCAACAATATTTTATTTATAATCTTATTTTTAGCTTTTTAACTACAAATTCTGGTTCTAGAGTTGTTTAAAAGTCATGGGTTTTATAGATGCTCATATGTAAATTAATCTGTTGTTTGCTTACTTTTCTTTTCCATAGAATGGTCTCCCTCATAAATACAGAACAGGTCATTACATGAAAAATATAAGATCTTGCATTTTTTTTCCTTGTTCTCTCTTAAAAATCTATTTCTAATATTGCATTCCCCATTGGATTACTTCATATGGGTATGAGGGAAAAAGAAAAAAATTAAAAAAAGAGAGAGAGACAAAATAGACTGGATCTCACCACTAGAATTCACCATAAAAATCTCAAAGTGTAACAGAATTCTTACAAAATTTCCTAGACCAGTTCTTTAAGGAATTGAGATCTGCTATGAAAAATATGGCAATCAGGGAAGGGAGGAACGAGATGTGGGAAAATAGTGAATAAGTGCAGCAAAAACAGGTTCTGAGGAATACACATAATTTTGTCTGCTTTAGATCACAATAGAATTTTTAATAAATAAATTTCTTTTCTTTTTTGTTTTTTTGTAAAGACACTTTTTTGAAACAGTAGATTTAGCCCAGTCATTTGTGTCATTTTTAATAAACTGTCTTTTTTTTGATTGTTTGTTTTTTGTAACTCTGTAAATGTTTTAGATTTGAGTCTCTTGTACATTGTCTTTAGAGTTCATTCGGATCAATAACGGTTCATGCACTGAACTGTGTATTGAATTTATCGTGTTAACTGTTGTTGTGTGGTTGAAGGGAGATTTGTATGAGTTATAGTGATTTAGGTGCTCATGCTCGATAGCAGGCATGGGCAGGTGGCTTTCCATGGGTGTGTCTCCCGTAATCTCATCATCCACATTAATTATTTCAACAGTCCTTGTTGGGGCATGATGGTTTTGCCGATGGTGCTGCTTCCTCATCTTGTAGAAAATGACCAGCATCACTGCAGCCATGAGTGTGATGGCTACAAAACACCCAATGATGATTTTGGTAGTCTTCATGACCTCATCAATTCCTGGGATCCCACTGTTTATATCAGTCACTGGGATGGTGAAGGTTTTCTCTGTCGATCTTGTGCTCTGTGGCGTGAGAGAGGTGGTCACATTGGTGGTCTCCCAGTCGACCACTGGAGTGGGACCCACATTGTTATCTGTGGTCCGTGCCTCATCCTGAGACGGTTCCATAGTCTCTACTGTGACGGTTGAAAAGTAGGAGAAAGGAGTAGTGGTTGCTGCAGTAACATTCAGGGTGGCTGAAGCAGTAGTATTCCCAACGGAATTACTCACCATACATGTGTACATGCCTGTATCTTGCACGGTTACATTTGTGAAATTTAACGTACCATCACTGAGCACAGCTATCCGCACTTTGTACGCCCCATGTGTCATGACTGTTCCATTTGGAGTAATCCAAGATACAGATGTCAGGGATGTGGAAGCCCGACATTTCAGCTCAGCTGCCATGCCTTCAGTGACATTGAGGTCTGCAGGGGGCTCCACAATCACCGGAGCATAGCATGTGAAGTAATTCTGGTCAAGCTCTCCAATGTACCTCCCCTTTAGATTGGGAGGAGTGTTACACCGGGCACAACAAGCTGTGTTGGAGGGGGCCATGTCTTTTATCCACCAACTGAGCCACAGTATATCACAGTTACAGTTCCAAGGGTTGTGATGTAAATGTATCCGCTCTAGATGATGCAAGGGAGTGAAGAGGTCATGAGGCAGTAATGTTAGATTATTGTGTGCCAGGTTGATCTCCACTAGTGACTGAAGGTTGTCAAAGGCATTCCGTTCAATCACTTGAATCTGGGACTGTATCATCCACAGTTTTTGAAGGTGCATCAAACCCTGGAAAGAGCCAGGCCTGATGGCAGATAAATGATTCCCAGAAAGATCCAGCTCATCTAGTTTTATGAGCGGCGTGAGGTTAGGGATTTCCCGAAGGTTGCACATGGCAAGGTTCAAATACCTCAAGTTGGACAGACCTTCAAAGGCACCTTCTGAGATATATGAAAGTCTTTTCAATTCCCCTAAGTCTAGTCGGCGCAAAGAAGGAATTCTGTTAAAAGCATAAGAAGGGATGCTTTCAATGGGGTTGTTTCGCAACCAGAGCTCCTTCAGTTTAGACAAGTATACAAAAGCTCCATTCGGGATGGTAGTAAGACGATTGTCAAAGAGTTCCAGAGTGTTGAGGTTTGCCAGACCATTGAAAGCCCCAATTTCAATGGTTCTGATATGGTTCCTACTCAACTGTAGGATTTCCAAGTGCCTCAAGTGCTTGAAACTGTTCACTTTGATGATCTGGATTTGGTTCTCATGGAGGTTCAGCAGCCGTGTGTTGGTGGAGATGCCATCCGGAACCTCACGCAGGTTTTTCCGAACACAAATCACCTTGCTGAACTGGTTGCTGCAGGAGCACACAGAAGGGCAGGTCTGAGCCCGCACCAGACCAGCCACCACAAGAAGTTGAAGAGCCAGCAGCACCACAAGCAGGGGGTCAAATAGGGCCCTGTTAAACCTAGGACCTATCATTATCTGCTGTGGATGTAAGGTCATCTTGTTCAACATTCATAATTTATCTGGTGTTGGTCCTTCTAGAATTCAAACAGTCTGCAAAATAAAAGCAAAAAACAATTATTAGATTAGATTTACTCTAAGTATCTTTCTGGAGTAATGTCAGTGATATAGTGTATCAGCTAAAGCCATTATTTGTCAGACAAATTAAAAACAAACCTAATATCCTTTATTAAGCTGTGTGGTTCATATTTAGAGGAAGATGTACTTTTAATTCAAATTAGGAGCCATCCAAAGCCCACATTCCATGAGATGTATAACCACAGAGTAAGGGATCAGTGAGGTAGAGGACACTAATGTATTGTTTACCAATCAAATGTGGCCCAAATGCATGAGGACATATAATACATACCCCACCATTAGCTTCAATGCCCACAGCAGACTGAAAAAGTTTAGAAAATAGGACTTTGGGGCTATATCAAACAAACTGAAAGCTCCTTTGCAAAAGTAGTAATAGCTGACATATTATATTGAAGGTTATTTTATGTGCCAAGCACCATGGGCTATATACTTCATACATAAGCCTGTCTAGAAGTGGTTACATAATTTGTGGTTCCCAGAGCAAAATAAAAATGTAGGAAGCCTTATAAAAATTATTAATAATATCAAATCAGTAACAAAAGACCACTACACCAAGTGTGGGTCCCTCTTAACGTGGGTTTCTTTGCAACTGCACAGGTCGTAGGCCCATGAAGCTGTTTGTGATCCTTTGTAATCCTTACAACACTTCTCTGAAGTAGGAATTATCATCCTTTTCATTTTCAAAATGAAGAAATATCATCATAGAAGTGACATTCAAGAAGTCACATGTTTAGTAAGTATAAATCAGGGCTCAGATGCTCATTAGACTGGTACCAGGGAATATGATCTCAGATGCTCCATAAAAATGTTGCTGTGAGAATAAAGGTAAATGCAAAATATTTTTCACTATTTCTTTAAAATACTTTTCCTTTGGGGGTGACCTCAGCTGTAAGCACTGGCAACTTAATTTATGGTACCTGTGAAGATGCACTGAAAGAGTGACATGCACATGTATATATAAACTTCTAGAGATTCTCATATACCGACTCATTATAACATAGCTGACTGTAACCTATAAGCAGACATACCACATATTAACTATTTTCCCATGAAACATAATTTTTATTTACAGAAAAAAAAAGTATAACAGGACTATTAAGTCTTGTGTCCCTACTCTTACTGGTTTTGAGTAGATTTTTGGGAAGGAAAATAACTCATCTCCTGCATTTCTTGTGGCCACAGGAAGTCTTCCAAAGGAGCTTATGTTGTTACCAAGTATATGCCCCACTCAGCTGGCTTATTGTGGACTGGGCACCTGTGTAATAACTTCTCCCAAGTCTCTCAACTCAATAAACAATGTGTCTTCCATGAATCTCTTGGAAAGAAAAAAAAGGGGGGGCAGTGAGAGGGGTCACCACATTTCAGTTCAAAAAGGTACTAATGTAGGACCCATTATGTGTCACCTTGAGCAAGTTACTTATCCTTTCTGTGGCTTAATTTCTGTCCCACTTGCAAAATGGGAATGAAGGTATTAATATTACACACCACATAGGGTTGTTGTGAGGATAAAATGAGTTAATACAGAAAAAGGACTTAGAACAATGCCTCCCACATGGTCAGAACTCAATAAATGTTAGATATGATTATAATATCATGATAGATTATACAAAATATTTTAATATGAAATATTAATTTCATTATAAATATTAATTTAATAAATAATAGTAATCATTATGGTAATAATTATAGATTTAGATTTATAATTAAATATCTATTTCATTATAACTATTTTTAATATTAAAATATTTTAATATTAAATAAATATTAAATTTAATAAATCATATTAAAATATTTATAAGTTTGAAATAACAAATATAATTCTATTAATATATTAATAAATATAAAAATATTTTATTATAAAATAATCATATGTAGCATTTATTGAGTTCTGACAATGTGGGAGGCATTGTTCTAAGTCTTTTCTGTTGTTTCCCTCAACCAGATATTTTGCTAAGTAGTGGGCATATAAGGATGAGGAACAGAATCCTTACCTCGGGAGAATTTAAATTTAAAGTGTGAGACAGATAGGCAAACAGATGAAGTACAGTGATATATGTTCATTGCTATGACAGAAGTCCACACTGGCACAACAGCACTAACATCAGAGCAACTTCATCTATGCTAGAAAACCAAGGAGGTTTCAGAGAAGACGGATATCTGATCTATATTTTGTAGAAGCTGCTGAGAAAAGGAAAGAAGGGCATTTTAAGCACGGAGGGATCAGCTGAACCAAGGCAAGCACACATGAAAAATGCTAGTACATCCAGGGAACAGTAAAAAGTGCCCTCTGTCAGAATGGAAGGCCTGAGGACGAGAATGAGAAAGGAAGCTGGAATGAGATTGGGTAAAGATTCTTAAGGATTGGTTACGTCAAACTTAAGAGTCCCAATTTTATAGTGCAGGCAACATGTTTTGTTTTTAGAAAAGAATGCTATCATCGGCTTTGTTTTGATAAATGATGATGTGAGGTTAATATGGGGCAGAGACAAGCAATGGAAGAAACTAGTGGCAAGCAGAGCAATTAGGAAGATCTTCCTGTTGGCTCAAGTGAGTCTTGGAGAGAAGCCAATGCCAGAGAGCGATCTAGTTTCAAAGCCAGCACTTCCTTGTCTACCACCAGAGGGTTTGAGGAAGAAGGGCTGGCTCCTTTTTAGGATATGATCCTTTCACTAGTGGTGAGATCCCCAGTGAGAAATAGTTGCATTTACTAAATAGCCTACAGAAAGTGGAGAAGAGGCTTTTTTCCCTCAGTAATAGGAGACGCACTCTTAAGGAAAACCAGCTGCCATTAGCAATCCTTAAACATATACCCACATTTACAAAACCACTGTAAGGAACCTTGGTCTTAAGAAGGTGATATTTAAAGTCCTCGATTTGTTTCTGGTTTCAGAGGCTTTTGTGTCCTTTTCTATGACAGCAAAAATACTTGACTAATAGATTCTGAGTTACACTAATTTTTTTCCCCAGCCTTCTAAGGCCAACCAACTTGCTTCCTTCCTTGGAGCTGTTGCAGTTCTAGGTTGACTTTTCACACCATCTGGTACTGTGATTATTTGTTTCTGGGTGGTTTCCTCCATCAGCCTGTGTACTCTGTGAGAACAGGGGCCATGTCTGATGGATTCCTCTTAGCCTATTGCCAACACAGTGCCTGGCATACTGTAGGCACAAAACAAAAAGATATTGAAAAATGTACAACAAAGCAAATATCTAATCACAGCCCTTTGCATATATGTAGTCACATGTTCTAATGTATTAATCATGCCTTTTTATTTTTTGTGTTTTCTGATGTTCTAACATTTGAGGCCTTGCTGAATCTAGAGAGGCTACCCTTTCAGGGCTAGCAAATTCCTAGAAGTAGTCAAGGACTTGCCTATAAGCATGACTTTCATAAACAAACCAGCCAATCCAAAGGTCAAACCCCAGCCACCTTCTTTATCAGCTTCTCCCAAGACTCTTAACACTCAGACCACCATCCCTGCCCTAATCACCCCACGTCCACTTACCACTTACCAGGCAACAAGGGACAGCCCCTATGTCCCAGAACCTGCCAAAATTGTTCAAACTAGCCAATCACAAGACCATTTACCCTGCCTTCCCCTAAAACCACAATAAAGACTCTTGCCCCCATTTTCCACTGGCTGCTCCCTACTGGCTGATCCTGCTGCTTCCCAGTGTGGCCTCCACATGCTGTGTCATGCCCACCCTCCTGTGAGTTGTGAGTAAAACATCACTTTTTAAACAGCAGCTATCTCTTGGTCTGTTGCTTCACTATAGTAAATAATAATAAAACCTGAATTTTAAAACAATGACTAAACAAAAAGTCCTGGCTCATCATGTCAATCCTGTTAACAGGTTTTATAGGACTACACGTATACTCTGTCCCATTTATATCATGACAACAATGTGGTTGGTAGGTTTCACAGCCTAAGTCAGATAGAGTTATCCTCCTTGTAAATTTAAATATGGCCTTAAATAACTCTTTTATGTTTTCATTATCAATAAAAAGCTATCCAAATTTCCAGTAATAATGACCATCGAAAATTTATCATTTGAGTGATTTAGTGTAGTTTTACATATGCCCTCTCTCCCTGAAACAGACATAGGTTTCAGGGGGAGAGGGCATATGTTATTAAGGTCATTGGGCATAAAATAACATAGCATGCAAAATCCCTGATACATAAACAAATTAACGTTTTTACTGTTGGGGTCCCAGGGTCCAGCTCCTCTAAGCTTTCTCCCCTTCCCTACTGCATAGCCATCCTTAGAATCCTAGGGTCTCAGGCAAAACAGGTAGAAATAACTGGTTGACTGGAAATAGCATAAAAGTAAAGAAGATAATTCCTTACTCTGCTGTTTGCTACCTTTTTCTTTTTAAAATATGAGGCAATAAAGGCAGCCATGCTCAGTGGTCAAGAGAAAAGGGTCCAGTGTGAGACTTCTTGAGATCATATCCCTGTTTGACCCTCAATGACCTTAAAATTGAGAAAGTTACTTCATCTCCCTATACTTTACTTTCCCCATCTGTGAAAGAACAACACTGTTTTCTACTCAAAAGGCTTTGGTTAGAGCTGTCACAAAATACTGTGTATGTAAAGTTACTGGCTCATAAGAAGCAATATATAATAAATATTCAATACATATTAAAAATAAAGTCATGGGACACTCAGTTTCTTCCTATTTTATAAGGCAGGAGCAACAATTATGTCTCTTATTCAAATTTGTGGTAAGGATTACTTGATATATTCAGGAACATACTATCAGTGAAACACATGCAACAATGATATAGTGCTATTAATTATAAGGTATGTGCATCTATTCTTTCTTACTCTCCAGACTGAGTTTTATTTTCTACTTCTTGCTTCAAGGTCTTTGTGCTATTGCAATTAATGAGATTTTTCTATAAATCAGTCATAAGTAATGCTTTAAGAATTATAGCTGGTTCAAAGCTAATTTAT